TTTTTTTTTTTTTTTTTTTTTTTTTTTGCACTTGGATATCCAGTTGTTCCACCATCATTTGTTGAAAAACAACTCTGTCTCAACTGAATGGCCTTTGCACGTTTGTTGAAAATCAGCTCTTAATATATATGTGGGTCTGTTTATGGTCTATCTGTTATTTTTCTGTTTTTCTTTTGGGTTTTTTGGGGGAGGGTTAGTTGGTTGGTTGTTTTGAGGCAGAATCTCCCTTTGTCATCCAAGCTGGAGTGCAATGGCATGATCTTGGCTCACTGAAACCTCTGCCTCCAGGGTTCAAGCAATTCTCCTGCCTCAGCCACCCGAGTAGCTGGATTAATAGGCGTACACCACTACACAAGCTAATTTGGGGGTTTTTTTGTTTGTTTTTTTTTTATGAGACGGAGTCTCACACTGTCGCCCGGGCTGGAGTGCAGTGATGCAATCTCAACTCACTGCAACCTCCACCTCCCGGGTTCAGGTGATTCTCCTGCCTCAGCCTTCCTGAGTAGCTGGGATTACAGGTGCACACCACAACACCCGGCTAATTTATTGTATTTTTAGTAGAGATGGGGTTTCACTATGTTGGCTAGGCTGATCTCAAACTCCTGGCCTCAAGTGATCCACCTGCCTCAGCCTCCCCAAGTGCTGGAATTGCAGGCATGAACCAAAGCACCCAGCCAATTGTTTTTCTATTTCTCCATCTTTATGCTACTACCACATTATTTTAATTACTGAGTAGTTTTGTAGTATGTCTTGAAATCGGATAATATTAGTCCTCCAACTTTTTCCTTTTCAAAGTTGGTTTGGCTATTTAATATTTAGGGTTCTTTCCATTTCCACATGAATTTTAGAATTAGCTTATGAATTTCTATAGCATATTCCAATTGATATTGCATTTAATCCAGATATTAATTTGGGAAGAATTGACATTTTAACAATATTCAATCATCTGAGTCATTAACATGATATATCTTTGCATGTATTTACAACTTCTTTATTTTCTCTTGGTAATTTTTTTTGTTTTCAATGTGTAGGTCTTGGAAATACAGTGTATAGGTCTTTGGTTGATTTATTCCTACATATTTCTTATGTAAATGGTATTGTTTTTAAGTTTCAATTTACAGGTATTTGTCACTAGTTTATAGAAATACTACCGATGATTGTTTGTCGATCTTGTTTTATGCCACGCTACTAAACTCACTTGTTTGTTGTAATAGCTTTTAGTAGATTCCACGAGATAGTCTATGTAGACAATCATGCAAATAAAAAACAGTTTTCTTTCTTCACAATCTGGGTGACTTTAATTTTTTTTTTCACCCTGTTACACTGGGTAGAACCTCTAATACAGTGTTAAATAAAACTAGTGAGAATAGACATTCTTGTCTTGTTCCTGATCATGTGGGAAATGAATAGGAAAGCATTTGCTCTTTTACCATGAAGTATGATGTTATTCCAGGTTTTTTATAAATGCCCTTTATTAGGTAGTTTCCCTTTCCTAAGAGTTTTTGTCAGGAATAGATGTTTGATTTCTCAAATGTGTTTTTGCATTGGTTAAGTAATCTATGGTTTTTGTTTTTAAATTTCTTAATATGGTGAATTACACTGATATTCAAATGTTAAACCAACTTCGCGTTCCTGGGAGAAACCCTACTTAGTGGCGTGTTATCCTTTTTATAAATTGTTGAATTTGATTTGCTAAAATTTCCTTTAGAACTTCTTGCATTTCGTTCATGAGAAATATGGGTCTGTAATTTTGTTTTGTAACATCTTAAGCTGATTTTGATAAGGAGATAATTCTGGCTTCATGGAACAAGTTGGGAAGAATTCCCACCTCTTCAATTTTCTGAAATAGTGTGTGTAGATTTAGTATTACTTCCTCCTTGTGTAATTTCTATTTCTTTATTCATATTCTCTATTTAGTGAGACATTGCTCATATGTTAGTTCTTTAGACATGTTTCCTTTAGTTCTTTGAACACATTTTGAATTACGAATTTTAAGTCTTTGTCTAGTAAGGCCAGTGTCTGTGCTTCCTCGGGGACAGTTCTGTTCATTGCTAGTAGGAATAAACACTGTTCGGGGCGTCAAGTAATTTTCCCAGATGTGTGCACACATCAGTTCTCTGCTGGATACTTGAGGGGAACCTTTGCGGATCTTCATTGTCTGTGGCTCAGTATCTTGAAAGTTGTTGTTTCATGTGTTTTGTTCAGGTTTTGTTGTTGTTGTTTTAGACGAGAGGTAAATCTAGTTCCTCCTACTCTATCTGGGCTACAAGCAAAGGTCTAGATGTTCTATGTATTTTCAAGGTAGCTTTTTGATAGATTGTGTATAGATTGTGAGAGATAAAAGAACAAAGAGGATCACTACAGTCTGATCTTCCTAGAGTGGGCTTTAGTGGTCAGAGAAAGCCAAAGAGGAAGACAGCATTAAAGACCATATAGACACGATGGAGTAAACAAGAATAGGGCCTAGAAGTCAGGAGCTAAGGCACAAAAGTATGGCAGTGCCTGGGATACCCTCAGACCAGCAAGTATGCATGGGGTCTCGTGTGTGGGGGTGTGTGTGTGTGTGTGTGTGTGTGTGTGTCTGTCCAGATATTTAAACATTTCACCTAAAAGAAATGCAGACTTCTGACTTCTTGAAAATAATCTGGAGTTCTGGACCTCAGCTCTACATTCTTTGATGACATCCATCAATGAGCTGAGATGGACTGCCTCCTTTAGATGAGTCATCCATTCTCCAGTTTGCCACAGTCCATTGTATCATTGTCTCTGCTGTATTATCTTTGGCTTGCTTCCCTTATTCACCTTATCAGTATAGAATATAGATTCCTTGGAAATAAGGCCAAAAGGGCACACTTCAGAAAGATTAAAATTGTGTGTTATCAGTGTTTTTTTCCAGAACTTAACCTTTCCTTTGTTCTTTTATCATTGTATCTAAATTTACTGTCGTTTCTTGTTTGTAATTTCTGACCTTTTCATTCTCAGTCATCTGACTTCATTTCACTTACTTATACATTTCTTTGTTAGTCTATTCAGGGTGCCACAGAAAATACCACAGACTTCATTGCTTAAACTACAGAAACTTATTTTCACATAGTTCTGGGGGCTAGAAGTCCCAAGATCAAGGTGCCAGCAGGATTGGTTTCCATTGAGGCCTCTCTTCCTGGCTTGGAGATGTCTGCCTTCTCATTGTATCCTCACGTGGCCTCTTCTCTATGCAAAAAGAGCACACTTTTCATCTTTCTCGTCTTCTGAGGATACTAGTCTTATTAGATTAGAGCCGCACTCTTCTGACTCCATTTAACCTTAGTTATCTCCCTAGAAGCCCCTGTCTCCAAATACAGTTACATTAGGAGTTCAGGTGTCAACATATGAATTTGGGGGAAATATCATTTGGTTCACAAGAATCTCTATTCAGTCCTATTTAATACCTGATTTTGAAATTCTTGCATCTTTTTCAAGCTCCTCTGTGGTGTTTCTCACCATTCCTAGACAACTTAGAGAGAAGATACTCTCTTCCATTCTTGTTTTCCTTTTTTTTTTCATTGTTTTTGTGTTTTCTTTCTCCTAATATAAAGTGCATTACTACACACTCATCCACAAAACATTTGTTTTATATTTTGCTGTTGCCATTGAATCATTTGGAAATCTACATTGCTCATTCCACAGATCAGGATGTTACAGCTTTCTTATATATAAACTTCCTTCATTTCTTTTCTTGTCATTAATGAATGTCCTGTACTTTTACGTGTGTGTGTGGGGTGTGTGTGTGTGTGTGTGTGTGTGTGTGTGTTTCCACCTAAGTTGATAGAACTTTCCGATTTTTCGCAGGCATCTAATATTTTTCTGAGACAGATGAAATTTATTTTATTCTGTAAGTCCACAGATAATAGTTTAAGATTTTGACATTTATTTTATGCTTGTCCTTTTATCATGGCTAAAAAGGAGCTCAACCAGCCAAAGGTTTGTCTGTTTACATTATTTTAAGCAGCTCCCTGTCTCTCACCCCCGTGTATACTTGTTAGTTCTGCCGGATGTTTTTCTCTGTCATATCCTCACATTTATCCCCATTTTTATTTCCACTGCCACGTCCCTAGATCAAAGCTTCATCTGAGCCTTTACCTCAGCTCTCTTTTATTGGCTCCTTCTTTCTGATCTTTCCCTCCTATAGTTCTGAAATGAGCAAAGAACAGAGCCATGAGGACCAAGGACACATAATGGAAACACAGGTGAGGAAGAACGAGCAAGCAGGCCAAAAAGTCACTCTAATGGAGGTAAGGGGAAAACCAGTGGAAAGTTGTGCTATATTGTCAACAGGAAAAGATTTAGGAAAGCATGGTCAACAAGGACAAATACCAGAGAGAAACAAGGACTGACAAGTCCCATTTGGGATCTGTAACCAGGAGGCCATTTGCTACCTTGGAGAAGATAGTTTTGATGGAGAAACCCGGAAGCATAAATCAGATTGTCTCCAGCCCAAAGGGAAAAAGACTGTAAGAATAGTCTTACTCTCTTTAGAAGCTGGAATTTAAAGGAGAGAAAAGCCTAGGCGGTAACTAGTGGAAAACACAGGGTATAGAGAAGATCTTTATAACGAGAGGAATGACAAGAATATTTACAAACTGAAAGAGCCACTTGAGAAGGAGCCATCTGCGGTGTGGGAGCCGAGTGACAGTCCCAGGGGGCCTAAGGAAATCCAGAGGATCACTGCTCAAGAGTGGGCCACTTTTTCTACTGAGACAGGCCAGTGGGAAAATGTGTTTGGATGGTAGGGGTTGGTGTATAAGAAAGGCAGGAAAGGCCTGCCAGAAGGCCTTTTCTCTATTAAGTAGAAGTGAAGTTTCTGTTGAAAGTGAAACTCCGGGCCGGGCGCGGTGGCTCACGCCTGTAATCCCAGCACTTTGGGAGGCCGAGGCGGGCGGATCACTAGGTCAGGAGATCGAGACCATCCTGGCTAACACGGTGAAACCCCGTCTCTACTAAAAATACAAAAAATTAGCCGGGCGCGGTGGCGGGCACCTGTAGTCCCAGCTGCTCGGGAGGCTGAGGCAGGAGAATGGCGTGAACCCGGGAGGCGGAGCTTGCAGTGAGCTGAGATCCGGCCACTGCACTCCAGCCCGGGCGACAGAGCGAGACTCCATCTCAAAAAAAATAATAATAAAATAAAATAAAAAAGCATTTCATATTTAAGCACATACCTATTTTGTAGACTTACATTGTTTAATATTTATTTTAATCTTAATATTTTTACATTATTATATTACATTTATTTATTTCTAAGTTCCAGAATAATAGCATCATTATTATAGATTATATGTTTTGAAGTTAGATATTATAATAGGGTATTCATTTTTTGTTCTTTTCTTGACTCCTTTCTCAACTGTGTGATAAGGTCTGCTGATAAAATAACCCCAAGAAAGTGAAAACTAATGTAAAATTAGAAAGACTTATCCAAATTAGACAGTCAATTCCATTAAAATAAGAAGTGAGAAAAACAATGTTGGGCATTGAGGTGTAAATTTTACCCAGTGTGAAATATCTTCTAATAAAAATATATTTAGCTCTTATCCCTGCACATGTTGTAGAGGCATAAAAATTGGTAAACATGTCCCTGCTGTGTAGAACTTTTAAAAAAGGCATTTTTCAAAGTTTTGAGTGGCATTGATAACTGTTGAAGCCTGAAGCCATCAGCGCAAAAGTCTGTTCTGATGGCACTGAGTTTTCATTGTTCTGGATGCATAAGTCTGTGCATCAGGTACAGCTGGGCCCAGCCAGCTTGAGTCACTCTTGTACAAGCTTATTTTTTTCTGTCTTGTGAAGGCACTTGATAATTTAAAAATAAAAATATCTGTTTCTCTGCAGTTTCAGCTCATAATTTTGAGATATGTGTTGATTTTCTGATGGAATCACCAAGGATTTCAACAGGTTTAGAAATAATTTAAGATGAATGAAAAATATGTCAGGGGGAGCTAAGCATTTGCTAAGATCTTGAGGTTTATATGAAAAATGAAGGGTTATTTTTATATTGCAACTACTAAAGACAAAAATAGCAGTTGAAGCAAACACCAGGAAAATTTGGCTCTACTGAAAGCCCAGTCCTTTTCCCCTTTGTCTTGCTGACAAAGTAAGACTAGGGTTATGTTCATGAATAGATTAATAAAAGGTCTTTACCACTCAATCTGAGATGAGATGCGGTGAGGGAGATCATGACAGTGCCCTCTAAGCAGTAGATCCAGCTGATAATCAAGCAGAAAATCAAATGCCAGAATCCATTTGATGATGTATGGCATTAAACATTTCCTTATATCAAATTGGGTTTGTTTTATCTTTATTCTGAAAGTATTGAATTTTATCCCATGTCATCTCTTTTCTCCAAACAAGTAACAATTTGACATTATCTTCTTCTATATCTAAATAATATTTTTAAACCATTGTTAGAAACGCACTTCCCAATTATTGATCCAACTCTGTCTTGAAGATTAACATTTCTTCAGTATTGAAATAATACTGTGTATAGGACTTGGAAAGCTAGAATAAAAATCAAGTTTTTAAAAGACTTAAAACATGAAATATTTTACACAATGTATGCAAATGTATGTGTAAAATGCATATTTTAAATGAAATCAATGCTTTTAAATGGCTAACACTTGGTCCTTCTGAAATCTTGTGCAGGGTTTCTGTCACATACAAATGAATACTTGACCTTAATATTATCTTTAAATTATAGAAGAATTTAATTAAAGAAAGATATCTTTTCTTTAGGAAGCTCAGCAAGACTATGTTTGAGAAATACTTACCATTTTATAGCTTCATGTGACATGTTGTCACTTTAGTCATATATTTAGCCATAAATATTTTTAAAAGGAAGTTCTAGAAACTATAACAAAAGTTTGTGACCTTACATTTTTATATGTATTCAAATGATTTCCATCTGATGGCCATACCTGTTTAGTGAATTATGGAAACATTTTTAAGCAATCCACATGTTTTAAGCTATATATTTCTTCGTTTCTATTTAATTGAACTGTACCGAAAATAGTCCCCAAATCTTCACTTTATTATGTACATGACCTCATTTACTCTTCACATCAAATCCATTAGATAGATAAAATCTTCCCTGCTCTACAACTAAGGAAACCAAGTTCTGAAAGTTAAGTAACTTCTCCAACTGCACAACTCCAGCCACTGCTAGCTGCAAATGGAGATGTCAGACTCCACTGGGTGATCTGTAAAGTACTGGATCTCAGTTGCTGTGGAGAGGAAAATGCTGATACTTGGGAGATGACAGCACACACAAGAGTAAGGAAGCAGTTGGCATGTACCTATGACCACACTCAGGGACTAGAAGCATCTCAAATGTTTGTCATTCAACAGTGACCTCAATAAAATATATCTGAGTGAATTATTTTTTAAAAAACTGATCTTTTTTATTAGATAACTATTTTAGTAAATCTTTACTCCATACTATAATTATGTTAAGAAACAGATTCTATAGAATCAAACTAATTACATGTACAGTAACATTTTATTCAAGAAACCGAAAAGGCGCCATTCCAGTCATATATGAGATAATAAAAACATCAAGAAGCACGTCAATCAAAAGGCTGTGTTGACTGGAGA